TGGTTTCTTCCACATTAGCCAAAATGTGTTTCTCAAGCAAACATTTGCAGTGCTATTGGTATAGCCCTGAAAGTGCCCGTGTTCTACAGAATATTTGATACAGGGAAACAAGTGATTAGCAGAGGCTTAACACCAGCACTGCCAAGTGAATAGTTGGAAAAATAAGTTTGTCACTGAATTGAGAACCTCTGTTGTTTTATTGTGGCAGGTATGAACACACCTCTAACAAGTTTGAAACACTGTGCTTTACCTTCTTACCAGAGACTCAAAAAGTTGTGTCCCAAAGTGGGGGGTGGTTCTGCTTTTGGGTCTTGTAGAGCTGAAAAGTACTACCATGACCATGTCACAATCAAATTGTTAGCCTACTTTAATAAGGAATTTACTAAATGATACTGTGACTCCTGCAGCTTAAAGAGTTTCAAGAAATCATTACTGACCTTGCCCGAGCTGTTTTTCTTAACTTTCTTGGATGTCTCTTCAGATTCCTTGCATACTGTCTCGGCTGCTGAGAAGAAAGATTTGTTTGCATGACACACCAGAAATGACCAATTCTATAAGCTTATTTCTGATAGAAAGTTCACAAAGACAGACATGTCAGAAAGGAAATCCCACTGCAACAAAGTTCACATTTCAGTCTCCTGAACATGCTGCTGTTTTTCCAGGATTTATGGGGGTTAACCTATATTTATTACATGTCCATCACCTAGCTGAGTGCCCATCAGTGAGACCCTCTATTTGCAATTCTGTAGCACGTTCTTAGCTAATGGTATTTCTCTATCTGCAATTGCAACAGTGACATTACGAAAAACATTTCTAAGAGGATACATGCCCAGCTACACTACTACATTCTTGCCTAAAGTTCCAAATACTATACCAGATGACAGAAACAACAGGAAATGCACTGGACAGACAGGCATAAAAAAAAAAAAAAAATCAAAACAATGGCAACAACAACAACAAAAATCACAGATGAGAGGAGACAGAAAGATCTGACCTTTTTGTTACTTAACCCACTAAATCACGAGACTCATGACTTAAGTCTATGAATGAGATAGAGATGTTCTTAAGAGTTTAGGTTATAAATTTTCTCTTTTTTCTTCCATAGAGATCTCCTACAGAAGAAGGATCTAGACAGAAGAGCTATCCAGGTCATAAATATAGTGCTAGATAATGTTATGTAGTAATTAACAGTGCAGAAGGACAAAACTTCCTTTTGTAATGTGGCAAAAGGAAAAGAATATGGTGATAGTAGCATAGATATAATGCTGATAATTTATTCTCCTTTCGTGCTAGTTCTTTTAACAAAGAATCTCAATCTATAGGAAAGGAAAAGAATATATAGACATAATGCTGATAATTTATTCTCCTTTCATGCTAGTTCTTTTAACAAAGAATCTCAAAGCTGTTGGTGACTGAGAACTACAGCTCAGAGAACTTTGCTGAAACAGCTTGTTCTCCTCAGACATTTCATCCTGCCCAAGCAAAACAATCCTTCATCTGAATTTCTAGATTCTTGCTTTAGGCTCTAGATTAGACTTAGTTTTCTTATACTGACAGAAGTCGATAGCTTCTTTAAGCAGCATCTGAATCCACGTGCTCCTGCAAACAGTCTAAATTGTACTGCTCACCTGGAGACTTCTCTTCTGAGGGGCCCATCTGAGATTTATTCCTCAGTACCTTTGGCTCAGGCAGGAAGTGAAGCTCTGTAAAACAAAGGGAGAGAGCTGGGTGAACACTCTCCAGTAGCTTTGCTGAGTAGAATCTCTGAAACAAAATACAGAAGGGGGACACTTAGCTACATTCATCTCAAGAAGGAATCGTCTCTTAGAAGTCCTCCAGATTATTTCACCCATCAAGTCCATCACAACACCACACTAAAACTTGCGATTAGTTAAAACATACTTTTCAACTTGGCCAAAATTAAGACAATAATTAGGTTTCTATGAAGCACGTCATTTACTGAAACTCCTTAATCCTGAGTTTTCACATGTATCATGCTGATATATAAAAGGATCATGTTTCATGTAGCTATGATAATGTAGTTACAGGTTCAGTTTCATTCAATAAAAATATATTTAAAAAATCAAAATTGATGGTTTACCATCATGAGGAGAACAAGCAGTGCCATCAGTTTCTTTTCCTGTTTCTTCCTCTGCTGTCATTTTCATTTCTAGTTTTGATGCTCTGTTTACTGCATCTACTTCTTGCTCTTCTTCCATTTCCTCCTCCTCCTCTTCCTCCTCCTCCTCTTCTTCTGGTCCATCATCTTTCATTTTTAACAAGCTTTCAGGAATATCTGGACGCTTGACAGGCACCTTCTGCAGGACAAAAACTTGGATATTAGTGCTAGGATAATACAGAAGTAGGTGTTGCATATGTTCGTTACTGCATTAGTGTCACAGAAACAGCTGTTAAGAAAACACTCGCAAGATGAAGAATAGTTAGGTTTTGAGAAAAAGTCTTTGGCAGAGATAGAAGAGAAGTACATCCACAGAAGGGCAGAACAGTCTTTAACAGGCGGGACACTGGAAAATGAGTCATCCTTGGATATAATCCTGCCTAAAATACTGTCAAAATCAGCAAAGGGAAGGCACAGATGCTTATGCACAGCAGTCTTTTGTTCGAGGTCCCCAGAGTGCATCTATGATCCACCACCTTTCTGACTCTCTGTGTCCCCAGAGACTGGGCAAAGCACGGAATAGCTATCGCCAGCAGCAAACCCCATCCAACCCGTTGCTTCCTGCCCTGTGCAGCTTCTGCTCCCCAACACTTTCTCTTCTGTGTTACCACCGACACCTGCCAGAACCTAAGGAATGGCTGAGAAACAGCTGAGAAGGAAGGAAAAGAAGACATGCACTGCAGCTGGTCTCTGTACTAGACTTACCCCCAGGCTTCCAGTTTTCAGCTTGAACTTTTTTAGACTTGTTATCCGCATCCGTCTTGTAACTCCCACTACTACTGAAAATAAATAAATAAATAAATAATCAAATAGAGATGAAAAGAGTACACAAACTATCAAACAAAGCTTCTATTTACAAATGGGAAATAAGGGTGAATACAGAGAAACTCTTTTAGCCCTCAATTGCAGAAAAAAAAAAAAAGAGGAAGTTGCAGGAGATGAGTCCTAGGTGGCAGACACCTGTTTGAACACTGTTCCTGTCCTGGTAGACTTCCTAAAATTAACTTACACACACTA